GGGGGGACTCTAGCTGGCGAGGAATGGCTATGGATAAGTGATGACGAGCGGCTCAACTTGTTGGATGTCTTAAGGGACCGACATCCCCTATCTGCTGATACTTAGCATATGTCGTCTCTTTTAGCAAAAATGACTTGGTCTTCGGCTTTTCAAGCGGAGTTCAAGAAACTTTCTTATGAGAGACTTCTTAAGCGTGTCGCTCGATCGCACCTAGAGGTGAGCCAGATATCTCACTTGTTAAGACTTGCTTTTATGAAAAAAGCAAACTACCTGAGGGTAGCCAATGATAGCCTGTCAAAGTCCCAAGAGTAAGTTACCCATTTGACCAATGAGCTCTACAAGGTTTGTGACAATTGAAACTTTGCCAGATTGATGTAGCAGCAGTCCGAACATAGGGAAGAGAAGCTAAAGAAGGAGGTCGTTAAGATCAGGACGACATTGGAGTCACTTGTACACCACGCGGAGTTAAAGGGTCAGTTTAGGTTGGGGATCAAATACGCTACCCAGCAGTTCGTTCATCACGATTTTATCGACCTGAAGTTCCTCGGCCCATCCGAGTTTAGTGCTTTGATCTCAGATCTGATCCCTCGGAAGAAAATGATGGCTCAGGTAGCGAGCACAAATTTTCCTGCGATCAAGGAGAGGATCGATCAGGTACTCAGTAGTGCCCAGGCTCTACGAGGACTTTTTTTTGTCTAAAAATATGTCAGTATTATACAAAAAGACGTGTAATTCTTTACAAATTAATGAAATGAAATCCTTTGCCTTTTCATAATTATTTTCGCCACTTGGGCTTGTTGCAAAATTTTTTGTTTTACCTGTGACATTGGCTTTCAAAGAGGCTTGCTCTCGGGTCGGCCCGTGGATTCAAAGAATCGATTTGACCATAATGTCTCAGTCGGTTGACTCTTATTTCTTTTGTTCGCTTATGTCGGGTTGTCCTTTGAGTGGATACCAGTCCTGATCGATTCTTTCTCCCAACACGATCTTGTCGTTACCTGCGAGGGTGATGACAAGAGTTTTAGGGATGACTTTCACTCTCCTTTTGCGGATCTTGTCGCTACCAATGAGAAAGCAACCCCTAAATAATCAATCTAATGTCAAGATTCCACATCGGCTCACGGCTGGAAGGTATCAAATTTTTCGACCGATTACGCAACAACCGATCGATTTCCCTATAATCGCTGAGTCCCTTGGTTTTTCTGGACCTATAGAGGGCTTACCACAATTTTTTCCGCTCGCGTGTGCCTTCATCCCTT